TTTTTTGATGATGGCCATTCTGACTGGTGTGAGATGATATCTCATTGTAGTTTTGATTTGCATTTCTCTAATGATTAATGATGTTGAACATTCTTTCATGTGTTTGTTGGCAGTCTGTATATCTTCTTTGGAGAAATGTCTATTTAGGTCTTCTGCCCATTTTTGGATTGGATTGTTTGTTTTTTTGTTATTGAGCTGCATGAGCTGCTTGTAAAGTTTGGAGATTAATCCTTTGTCAGTTGCTTCATTTGCAAATATTTTCTCCCATTCTGAGGGTTGTCTTTTGGTCTTGTTTATGGTTTCCTTTGCTGTGCAAAAGCGTTGCAGTTTCATTAGGTCCCATTGGTTTATTTTTGTTTTTATTTCCATTTCTCTAGGAGGTGGGTCAAAAAGGATCTTGCTGTGATTTATGTCATAGAGTGTTCTGCCTATGTTTTCCTCTAACAGTTTGATAGTTTCTGGCCTTACATTTAGGTCTTTAATCCATTTTGAGTTTATTTTTATGTATGGTGTTAGGGAGTGATCTAATCTCATAGTTTTACATGTACCTGTCCAGTTTTCCCAGCACCACTTATTGAAGAGGCTGTCCTTTCTCCACTGTACATTCCTGCCTCCTTTATCAAAGATAAGGTGATCATATGTGCATGGGTTTATCTCTGGGCTTTCTATCCTGTTCCATTGATCTATCTTTCTGTTTTTGTGCCAGTACCATACTGTCTTGATTACTGTAGCTTTGTAGTATAGAGTGAAGTCCAGGAGCCTGATTCCTCCAGCTCCGTTTTTCCTTCTCAAGATTGCTTTGGCTATTCGGGGTCTTTTGTGTTTCCATACAAATTGTGAAATATTTTGTTCTAGTTCTGTGAAAAATGCCAGTGGTAGTTTGATAGGGATTGCATTGAATCTGTAGATTGCTTTGGGTAGTAGAGTCATTTTCACAATGTTGATTCTTCCAATCCAAGAACATGGTATATCTCTCCATCTATTTGTATCTTTAATTTCTTTCATCAGTGTCTTATAATTTTCTGCATACAGGTCTTTTGTCTCCTTAGGTAGGTTTATTCCTAGATATTTTATTCTTTTTGTTGCAATGGTAAATGGGAGTGTTTTCTTGATTTCACTTTCAGATTTTTCATCATTAGTGTATAGGAATGCAAGAGATTTCTGTGCATTAATTTTGTATCCTGCTACTTTACCAAATTTATTGATTAGCTCTAGTAGTTTTCTGGTAGCATCTTTAGGATTCTCTATGTATAGTATCATGTCATCTGCAAACAGTGACAGCTTTACCTCTTCTTTTCCGATTTGGATTCCTTTTATTTCCTTTTCTTCTCTGATTGCTGTGGCTAAAACTTCCAAAACTATGTTGAATAAGAGTGGTGAGAGTGGGCAACCTTGTCTTGTTCCTGATCTTCGTGGAAATGCTTTCAGTTTTTCACCATTGAGGACGATGTTGGCTGTGGGTTTGTCATATATGGCCTTTATTATGTTGAGGAAAGTTCCCTCTATGCCTACTTTCTGCAGGGTTTTTATCATAAATGGGTGTTGAATTTTGTCAAAAGCTTTCTCTGCATCTACTGAGATTATCATATGGTTTTTCTCCTTCAGTTTGTTATTACGGTGTATCACGTTGATTGATTTGCGTATATTGAAGAATCCTTGAATTCCTGGAATAAACCCCACTTGATCATGGGGTGTGATCCTTTTAATGTGCTGTTGGATTCTGTTTGCTAGTATTTTGTTGAGGATTTTTGCATCTATGCTTATCAATGATATTGGCCTGTAGTTTTCTTTCTTTGTGACATCCATGTCTGGTTTTTGTTTCAGGGTGATGGTGGCCTGGTAGAATGAGTTTGGGAGTGTTCCTCCGTCTTCTGTATTTTGCAAGAGTTTGAGAAGGATAGGTGTTAGCTCTTCTCTAAATGTTTGATAGAATTCGCCTGTGAAGCCATCTGGTCCTTGGATTTTGTTTGTTCGAAGATTTTTAATCACAGTCTCAATTTCAGTTCTTGTGATTGGTCTGTTCATATTTTCTATTTCTTCCTGGTTCAGTCTTGGCAGGTTGTGGCAGGTGGATTCTTAACCACTGCCCCACCAGGGAAGTCCCTCATGTGGAATTTATTTTGATATAAGATATGTTTTAGGTATTTAAATATGCTATTTCCAAATGATTAACAGTTGTCTCATCATCTTTTATTAACTAATCTTTCTCTAGTGGCCAAAAAAAAAAAAAAAAAGATTGAACTTCTAAAAGTAAAATCATGCCATGCTACAGTTGTTCAAAGAACCCTCTTAACTGGGTTAAGAGTACTTGTATGGTGGGTTTATAACTTGTTTGTCCCTTTAACTGGAGATGTTCTAAAAGTGCCTAAGGCAGCATCTGACACTTAGTAGACAATAAGTAGTTGCTGAATGAATGTGTGGGAAGGGGATGTCTTGGTGTGGGAGTATTCCTTATCGCACAACATAAAAAAAATGTTAAAAAAGTAGAGAAAAACATGTACAAAAGAAGGCATGTTAACTGTCACCCAGCTTGAACAGTTACCAACTCACAGCCAAGTTTGTTTTAATAATACCCCACGTACTTTTCCCTTCCCATATTATTTTGAGGCAAATACCAGATATTATTTTACTCATAAATATTTCGATGTCTATCTCTAAAAGATAAGGTCTCTTTTCTTTAAACATTACATTATTACACCAGAAAAATTAAAATAATTCCTTAACGACGTCAGGTATCCTGTCAGTCTTCAAGTTTTCAATTGTCTCATAAATGTCATTTTCTTTTACAGTTTTACATTTGAATCAGGACTCAGGAAAGATCCACAGGTTGTGATTATTTAATATGCAGTATTTCTTATGTATTTTTTGATCTTTGGTTTTCCCATCTTCTCTCTATTTTCTCCCTTGTATTTTATTTGTTGAAGAACTGGGTTGTTTGTACTCCAGCACTTCCCACAGCCTAGAGTTTGCTGATTGTATCCTAATAGTGTCACTTACTTAACTGTCACTTATATTCCTCTGTCTCCTGTATTTCCTGTAAACTGGTAAGGCTTAATCAGATTCAGATTCAGTTTTCTTTTTGGCAAGCCCAAAAAGAAGGTGGTGGCCAAACCATAATGACAGCATTATTGGCTTTTTGTTCAGTGCCTTTGCAAATTGATTTTGCCATTTGTTGAGTATTTTCTATGTGCCTTGCAATGTGCTTATGTTCTATAGGCATTATGTCATTTAATCATATTTAAGCTTCATAATACTAATACATATCAATTTCTCTCTGATGACTAGACCTCTTATCAGGGCCAAGTAATCTTAAATGTCTTTCAAACAACCCCCTTTGTGTAAACCCCATTGTCATTTATGTGATTTAATTTGGAATTCTATATGAACTTTCTTTTTACTGAATTCATTTAGAGCTATACAAAAATAACTTGCATTAAAGGCATTTTAAAAAATATTTTAATAATAAAGCTCAAAGACCTATCATATAATTGTGAGTTCGTTGTACTCAAGCCTTTTGGTACTGGGATTCACCATCTGTTAACCTCACAGAGACCGATATCTAAACCGCAGATAAAGCCAACAGAATTCAGTATTTCCTGAGTCTCTTTTTCCTCTGCACTCATTGTCTTCTGCAGATGCATTTACGTCTCTTTCATCTCTTTCTGCTTTCTTTGCATGCTCACAGTATCCTACTGTTGGCCAGTGTGAGAAACTGACTTGTGATTGTAAAAGCAAAACTAGCCTTTCGTTGTTTGTTTACGTATCTTTATTTTGCTCAATTCTCCCCATAGTCCTAAATTCAGTTGTTTATAAAACCAGACCACTGGCGTTCCAGACTCAAAAAATAAATATCAAATTATCTTGACTAGCTGACATTTTGATGATTAAACTGTTTGATATGTGGTTGATGGAGAAAAAGCACTAACTGACCCGAGTCACAATTAGATACCAGAGCACTGAGAGCAAAACAGTGCAAAGAGGATCCTGTTGTGCAGCCTTACAGACTGACATGCAGGGCGTATTTTATTCTTTATATATCTTAACCTTTCTTCTCCTTTAATAGTTGTAACTTTCTCCTTAAGTTTCCAGAATATCTATTAGGTGAAGCATTTGATTAGTTGAATAGAAGGAACAGAAAGCATTGGTGAATACAGCAGGGAAATAGGAATCAATGTGAATAATTTCTTACTCTGGTTGTACCTCACTGTGAGACATTAGACAAGTAGCCAAATTCTCTGTTCTTATTTCTTAAAACACAATTATTTTACCATGCTTATTCATGAAGAACTTTAAGATTCTTATTTGAAACACTCTTCTGTAAGCTTGTAGTAAGTGGGAATTGTGTCTTTCTTTACCTGATCTTACTGGGTGCCCAGGGTAGCATGGAGCACGTGCTTGTGCTTAATGAGTAGGTTTGGATGCTGGTGGTATTTGAAAGGTTATACATTTTAAAGGGTATTTTGTTCCCTTTTCCTTGGCAAGACCAAGGAGCTTCCTTTTCTAAGACCAGTTGTGTTTGGACTAAGTGAAAGTACACTTTGTTCTAGGAGAATTGCCATATGAAAGCCTAGAATATATATTGAGTTCTTCCAAGAAAGGGGGAAAACTCATGTTCTAGGACAGTGAATGCTGACTTGGTGCTGAATGAATGATTGTTATGTGCTCTTTTACTTACAGGCTCGCTTCTCATATGTGCGAATGAAATATCTTTTCTTTTCCTGGTTGGTGGTTTTTGTTGGAAGCTGGATTATATATGTGCAATACTCTACCTATACAGAACTATGCAGAGGAAAGGACTGTAAGAAAATAATAGTAAGTATTTTTTATTTTCTAGTATATGGAAAGACCTATTTTTAATTGAAGTACAGTTGATTTACAATGTTGTGCCAATCTCTGTTGTATAGCACAGTGACTCAGTTATACACATAGAGACATTCTTTTTTTAATATTCTTTTCCATTATGGCTTATCCTGGGAGACTGGATATAGTTCCCTGTGCTATACAGTAGGACCTTGTTGTTTATCCATTCTAAATTTAATAACACATTAAAAAACTATATTAATAACACATTATATTTACTACTATATACATGCTAAAATTTTTTTTCAAAAAGTAAAAGTTAATTTGATTTTGAGTTGTGCTGAACTTCTTAGCATTTTGATATGACCAAGTTAGTAGGACTGTTCCCCACTTTGAAAAATCCAGTATTCAGAAATCTGAATATGTGATACAGACTAGTGTGAAAGCATCCTTATTACAAAGAGGGATTTTTGTTTTTCAAATATACTTGAAGTTTAGTTTACTGTAATCAGATGGGTTTTTAAAAAATAAATATATTTATTTATTTTTGGCTGTGTTGGGTCTTCGTTGCTGCACGCAGGCTTTCTCTAGTTGTGGCGAGTAGGGGCTACTCTTCCTTGCGGTGCGTGGGCTTCTCATTGCAGTGGCTCCTCTTTGTTGCACAGCCCAGGCTCTAGGCTCACGGGCTTCAGTAGTTGTGGCACACGGGCTTAGTTGCTCTGCGGCATGTAAGATCCTCCCGGAGCTGGGATTGAACCCGTGTCCCCTGCATTGGCAGGCGGATTCTCAACCACTGCGTCACCAGGGAAGCCCAGTCAGATGGGTTTTTAAATATTTATAGTATGAAAGTGTTATTTGCAGGCAACCTTTCTGGAACACATCTTTTGAATAAATGGAGTCATTCTCAAATACTGAAAATTTACCTAAAAAGCATATAAGTGTATTTATTATTTAATTTCTATTCCAATTATTGGATGTATCTCAGGAAAATCACTCTATCAGTCTAAGATTTCTAGAAAATCCAGGATTAAGTAAATTTAATTCCTTGTTTTCTGCTGATATCTTCTATATAAATAATATTAAAACATTTCATCTGAGAATTATATTTCTGATATAATAGTGGTTGGGATCCCAATTATTATAACGTGTTAACAATTCTATAATTATTGAGTGGTTACTCTTTAACTAGGCCAGTGGTGCTAGGGGTGTGCATTTAGCAAGGAAGAAGATATCCTGACCTTACGAACTTACAGTCTAGCAGGGAAGAAAATGAATAATTACAGTAAGGTAAAATAAATATTACAGTAGCAAATGTCTCCCCATAAGACAGGGAGAGCTGAACCTTTCCAAAGTTCTAAGAAAATAAAAATCAATTTAATTCCAGCTACTCAGTCAGGATAAAAAATTTAAAAAAACAACAGCAAAAACAAAAACCATTATTCCCCAGGAGTATTACAGCCACTTAACTAGGCAGGGGAGAAATTACTCATATAAGAAGCAAGGGAATTAATGAACAAAGAAGAGTCCCAAATCAAGGAGGGTTGAAAGATGTCAATCTTATGTTCATTCCAATGGGCCATTCCAGATCCTCGAGGAATTTTACTAGGAGGAACCTCTGGAGCCAGACAATACACTGGGTACTTTACATGGTCATTAGTACTTAAAATAATGCTGTGAAAGCCCCCCAAGCCCACTTTACAAATAAAGAAATATGGCTAGCAGAGAGAAGAATTTGCCTGTGATGGTGGAGCCAGAATTTGATCCTAATTCTGCCTCTATAGAAAGCTCATGCTCTTTCTGCTACCCAATGTCAGAAAAGACTGATAAAGGAAGTTATAGATTAATGAAGCTAACAAAATCCCCCACAAAACTCACCAGCTCACCTTCAATGAAGAAGAAAGAAGTTATATAATCAACTATAACATATAAATAACCAAAACTATTTGAAATGTTTATTTCCTTTTTTTTTTTAGGTCACCTTTCTCACACACTAAAGTGTACACATTAAAGTGTATTCCATGATCAGACGTATTTGAAAACAGAGGGTTAAACAAATATAAATAACTGACTTTACTGGGGACTTCTCAGGATCTTTAATATTCTGCATCTCCAGAGAAAGCAAATATACTTGATTAGGAAAAAAATCCATCTCCACTGCAGCCCTCCCAGGAAGACCTATTAACATCATCTGGTTATGTTAGAAGTACTGTTCTAGAGATTAAACCCAAATGAAATAGACATGGTTTTATCTGTTTTAATACAATAACCTTTAAAATGTTAGGCATATATTGGTACATATTCTGTTATGGGTGAATTATAGTTGAAGTACCATATTATTTTCCTTTAAGTTCACTTTAATTGATAAAGAATGGAAGCAGAATATAATTCTAGCATAATTTAATGGTTATCATTCTAAAACTTGAAAATAATGAAAATGTTTTCTGAGCCTAAAATATATCCTTTTTCCTAAGACTGGCTTTAAAAAAAATTGTAGTTTCTCTGCATTTGGGAATTATGTTCTTAAAACTTACCACAACTAGTAGTACTAAGACCAGTAGTACTAAGATAGTACTGATATGGCATAGGAATTGTATGATTAGAACTAAAAAGCAGGCAGAGAAAATATTTTTAAAGTATATGTTAAAGCTTCAAAGAGCTAACAAGATAGTGAGGAATTACTTGATCAAGATCTGGGAGAGGATAAGATTTAAGAGAGGTGAGCCTAGATTTTGTGGCTGTGTTTGCCTGGAAATGTATGACCTGAAATACAGTCTTATGGGGCTAGGAAGATAAAAATATAGTCCATTTTCTACCAAGAGTGGGACTCTGGTACACCATGCTTTGGGCTGAGATTGCAAAGGATTGAACACCAAGAGTGAAGGTGAGCTAAAAGAACCTCAGAGAGGCAAGCTGACTTTGTAGCTTCTTTTTCGCTTGAGGAATTTGCTGATGCTGGGCATGAGCAGGGTTCTGAGAACCAGGACTGTATACTGGGAGAGTGCTGCTGCTGGGGATAAGAAACCAGCAAGCTTTTATAGAAAACTAAGGGAGCCTCAAGCATAAAGCCAGTTATCCTGTTGGGATATTTGCCAAATCCTGGGGCTTTACAGAGTGGGAGGCTAAAAAAAGCTCATTGGAAAGCCTTTGAAAAGCAGACGTTTTGGCAGTCTCACAAGATACAGACTAGAGTTATGAACCTTCCAGGCGGAGAAACTTCAATGAATTCCCAAGCTCTCAGTTAAAAATCCTGGAGGGCTATGCTCTTGGAATAGAGATGAGTCAAAAATAGATTGACCTTTACCAGGGGTACAATTCAGCCTGCACTCAGCACAGCCCCTCATTGGATTAAGGCAATCAGCTACCATTATATCTGCCTACTAGAGGGAAGGGAAATCCTCTCTGGAGGCATTATGTAGACAATTACAGAGCATGCCAAAAGACAAGATGACATGACTGAAAACCAAGAAATAAACACAGACAATAGAAGCAGATCCACAGATGACCTAGATATTGGTGTCATCCTAAAAGTATTTTAAAATAACTATGTTCATGTTCAAGTAAGTAGGAAAATAGGTAAAGAATATAAATAAAACAATGGATAATTTCAACAGGGAATTGAAATGTATTTAAGAGAATCAGGAAGATAATATGGAAGTTCTTCAAAAAGTTAAATATAGAATTACCAGTAATTCCACTTCTAGGTATATACTCAAAAGAAATGAAAGCAGGGACTTAAACAGATACTTGCACACCAATGTTCATAGCAGCATTATTCACAGTAGCCAAAAGGTGGAAACTCTCTAATGTCCATTAACAGATGAATGCATAAACAAAATGTGATATATACATACAATGGAATATTATTCAACCTTTAAAAAGAATGAAATTCTGATGCATACCACAATATGGAGGAACCTCGAAAATACTATGCTAAATGATATAAGCTAGATGCAAAAGGACAAATGTTGTATGTGTCCACTTACATGAGGTACCTAGAGTAACAATTACATATAAATTAGGAAAAGGGTAAAAGGAGCTAAAATGTTTAAAATCCTTATCATATTGCAGAGTAGGGGAAAAGTATTAATCAATTAACTTTAGACATGCTAATTCAACTATGTATTTGTTATTTCTAGGATAGCCTCTGGAATAGAAAAAGAGTGTATCATTTCCAAACTAATATAGGAAAAATGGAATAAATAATAAAAGAACACTCAGTCCTAAAGAAGGCAATAAAGAAAAAGAAACATAACAGGCAGAAGAAGTAGAAAACATATAATAAGGTGATAGATGTCACAAATTGAATTCCCTGGGAAACAGACTCAGAGACTGAGATTTACCTGAAGGAAGTTTATTGGGATGGGCTTTTGAGGTTAACATCTGTGGGGGAGTGAGGAAGGAAGATAGACCAGAATGAGAAGTTTAAACTGCAGTGCAGTAGTAATAAAAGCATCAGTTGATTCTACAGGGAACCTGGGGTTGGGATGGCCTTGCAAAGGTCCAGGCCTTTATACCCTCCTCACTGACCAGTCATTGTATACAGTTTTCCATCCTCTCCCACCCTCCCTAAAGGGGATATGACTTTGGATAAGGCTGTATTCCAGCTGAGGCCAAGTCCCAAAGCAAGATTCAGCTGAGAGCTGTTGACTGCCTATATGCTCAGCAGCTGAAGGAATGAGTGTTCCATTTCTAGAGGAAATATGGGTGGCTTAACACGGCACTGACTGTAGTATATCTAAACCCAAATATGTTGGTAATTACATTAAATGTAAAGGGACCAAATGCTTCAGTTAAAAGACAAAGATTGTTAAAAAAAAAAAGACCAAGATTGTCAGACTGTGTTAAAATTTAAAAACAACTATATGATATTTATAAGATACACATCTAAAATATAAAGATGCAGATAGATTGAAAGTAAAAGAATAGGAAAACATTCATGCAAATTCTAAAAGCAGGGATGTTTAGAGGAAAAACCATGGCTATATATATTTATGTAAGTTTTATATTACACA